ACAACTGATGCAAATTCTTTGTGTGGGAGAATGGGTCATGGGGGTGAAGTACTCAGGATTAGCATACTGTACTGTTGTAAAGCTGTGTACATCCCAAAATAATCATTAAGGCCTTATGCTTTTCTCCTTTAGGGTATCTATAAGTCCCACTAGGAGAGACTGAATGCCCTATAGAGGTGATACTCCCCAATAGAGTCCTGCTAGAAGGGTCGCAACCCCATCTAACATCAACCTGAACCACGAGGTCATAATCCCCTTTGCCAGTCCCTACGATTCGACTGAATATATATACATTTAGGTAATTTGAGTGTATGGGCCTGAAGGTGATCATTGGGAGCACTTCAACCCCACATGACCGTTTTATTTATTATTACCCATTTATTATTACCCAGCTAAAAATAAATACACCAAAATACCGGTGTATGTTTTACATGTGAAATTTTAATATGTCCTGAGGTACGGTAGCAGTGTCCTCCGATGTTCGCATTGTTTCTAAGATATCCGTGACGTAGGTGCTTCCAGTGTTCTCCTTCTTACCAGTGCGTATCCCGACTAAACGGTGTGGGTGGGTGTTAAACAGAGTTAGTCTAAGGCTCCGTCCACACGATGCCGGAAGAATTTGAAAGCGCAAGGTTACGCGTATCGTCCACACGTATCCGGCGTTTTCGCCCACTGAAAATGGAAGAATCTGAAAACGCTCTCCAGAGTGGAAGAATTTGAAAACGACGGCTGAGCCGATACGTGTGCACAGCTTTGCCGGATAAATTTGAAAACGATGACGCCACGTATCAAGTCGTTTCCATATTAATGAGGCTTGTTTCAAGTCTGGTGGCTTATGCTCAACTTTATATTACTATATTAGCCTCAAATAAGTCTTGTTTAGGTTATTCTCATGGTGAGTAAAATCTTCGGCAATTCTTGTAGCATTTGCGGAAGTATTTTACGAGAGAAATGCCGTAGCTAGACCGCTTAATTGGGCATATGACGAATATATGAATATGCACCCCCCCCCCCCCCAATTAAGCTTCTAGCTACGGCCCTGAGAAAATGTCCAAAAGGCCGGAGTATGGTTATACACAATTTCTTATACACGACATGCATTTAATAGATACTTAACAAACAATATTTATGAGTTTGTGCTTGTCGTTTGTCCAAAGAAAGTCCTCATTCTTGTTTTTTACTTTGGATTTGGTAGATTTTCGCTTTGAATTCGACATCCAATCTGTGACACGTGGGTGGAAAACATGCAGGTGTATTCAAACAATTTTAGCGTTTTCGGGTCGTTTTTGTGAATACCGCGTAAGCGGTAGCCACTATGTCAGAGGCTTGCTTGATTGCTTGCTTGCTTGCATGCTTGCTTGCTTGCTTGCATGCTTGCTTGCTTGCATGCTTGCTTGCTTGCTTGCTTGCTTGCTTGCTTGCTTGCTTGCTTGCTTGCTTGCTTGCTTGCTTGCTTGCTTGCTTGCTTGCTTGCTTGCTTGCTTGCTTGCTTGCGTGCTTGCTTGCTTGCTTGCTTGCTTTCTTGAATGCTTGTCTTGGACCATGACGTCACACTTAGCACTACGTCACACAACTGATGTACGTCACACTCTGCAGTTTTCGCCATTTATCGCCAACCTTTCCGGTGCAATCAAATATGCAATTCAAATGCAAATTATTCTAGTATCAACACAGCTTTTCTATACGTACGTTTTTTGCTTACACTTTTGAACTGTTTGAACTTTGCACGTCTTACTCAAATATAATAATCAATATTTAAACGACACATATGGTCTTCTAGTGTGAAAACAGCTACAGTATTTAGAGAACACCTGCAGACCGCCGACAGCAGGCGATTTTTTTGTTTATAGACGATTTGTTAATTCGTCTTCTGATGTGAAAACGGCTAATCGCTCATATTTTATGAAATTTGGAGTTAATCAATACGGCGGATGCGTTGCAAAACCAAATGCAATTTCAATACTTTAATAGTAACATGTAATATTTGTAGATGTGAATGCTGTTTGCTGAAACTTTAGCATATAGTTCACATGCACAATCAGTTTTTGTAAACATAAGTAGAGGCAGGAACACAAAATAAAAGGCCGTGTCATTCTACCTAAAATTATGCTTCGGCCGAACAGGTCTGAACGTGATCCCAATTATTTTATACATCGTCACGCATCGTCATTCACTTCAGCATTAGCTTTACTGCCATCATTGAATATGATCAATGAATGTGGTAATTATTGGCATGGTGAGTAAAATAGCCTGCTTATTTAGGAAAGAATGAGACCCTTCATTAATCATCAGCAATGAACAGTGATAATAATATGCCGATCCTCACTGATCCATTGTATTCTTTTCTGACTGACAAAGGATTTTACACATGCACCAATGACCTCCGGTAATGACATGGCCCATTCTTTGGACTACAGGGTGCCTTAAAAAAACGCAATCACTTAAGTATGCAGAACATTAATACAGCTCTAAAGCGCAATAGATACGCACCTCTGGAAATTGAAAATGGCTCTTAATCCTTCATTTAAAATGCTAAAAGTCATTTTAGCTGAACTATGGTGCAAACCCGAACAATATTAATATTCTTGCATATTTAAGTGTTTTGTTTGAGACACCCTGTACAGTAGTGTCAACCACGCGCTTTAGTATAAAAAGTCACACCCAGTTTACCGTGCTGATTCAGTGAATCAGTTTAATCACACGATATTCATGGCTTCGCGATGAAATAATCCGGCCGTTATTGGCTACATACACAACCTGTCACCTTTGAAAAAAGGTAAACTGAATGGTGCGACTTCGAACTCCAAATGCAAGACAAACGGGTACAACTATTAGCACTAGTTATTCTACCAGCCAAATCCATGATACCACTCGGATGACAAAGTCAGAGCGATAGTCACATGTACGCGCTGCGTACCTATTTTTGTGTTTACGTGTGGACGCGGAAAAATATTTTAACGAATAAAAATTTTTACGTTTTCAAATTCTTCCGGCATCGTGTAGACAGGGCTTATAATACAAGTTTTTTCTTGTAATATTGACAGACATGTAACCTCATAATAAATGTACACCAGCATAGTGAGTGTGAAGGATATTATTAGCATATTACGTGGGCTGGGTACAAAAGCCACATGGTTGTATAAATAACGATTCTACAAGTTCTCAACTAGATTCTTAGTTTTGATTTCATATTGAACGAATCTGCGGGGACAGAGGTAACTTTAATTTAATATTGCATGTATTTCCACGATGTATATAATTTAACATACTTATTCTTTGTATAGTTTTTACGTGCTGTCGAACGGCGACGTGAATAGTCCGATTGAAATAAACGTGGTAAAGCAAGGATTTGCGAGTTTTGAGGCGTCGCCCGTCAGGCGGTTTAGTAAACTCTACCGCACGTTACGTCTGATCCATTACAGTGAAAGAGGGGAATAGCAGTCTTCTGCTTGAAATAATGACTAATAATAATAACTAATAACTCTAATGCCTCAATCTTTAATGTCCCCTGCATTTAATTTTAAATTTACTCTATTGAAGAAAAGAGGGACAATATGATCTTATACCTTAGCCTGAGACTCATAAATCTCTGTTATTGTACACAGATAGTACTCCTGTACCTGCTTGTTGGCGCATTCCACTGGATACTGTTGAAAAATGTTTTTCTTCTAACTGCATGCAGAAAATAAAAGCATTTGAGACCCATATCACACGGTTCATGCTTTTCATTGCGTGTTAAAACAATAATCCTACATTTTACCCTATAAATACTTGCATAAATGTTCGATTATATAACATATAGATATTTCTAATATTTCAACATCGCTTGGTTTCATTTGTGCAGTTGAACCTAAATGAATCTTTGACTTCGTGAAGTTTGACTTTGAAAATATATCCCAAAATAAAAATAATTCCATTCATTAAGATGTTCTCGCGCTTACCACGAACGCACAATAAACACGCAACTGAACCCAGACCTTTCACGGTCACCTACCTCTCGTCCATCCCCTTAGCAAAAACCATACCCCATGCAGATAATCCCTATCATTCAGGGTGTATTCTGCAATAAAATCAAAGGCTATTAATGCAAAAATCACGACACAGATTTTATGCCTTTATATCTATACACGTGCAATTGAAAAAGATCATAAATAGATTTTCTCTGCGCGAACGTCATTTCTGTAAACGTGCACATTTTCAGACTTTAAACTTCAGCTGACTTTGAAACTTGACATTTTACAGGTACTTACACTCCAAATAGGTTTCATATTTCCATTATTAGTGTTAGAATCAAACTGAATATTGTTTCAACGTACACTTGTTGTTTAGAAATGCACCATAAAAATTTGAATTCTTATTAAGCTTCTTCACTTTTTGTAAATTGTATTTTAACAAAATTAACCATAATAATCTGCATATCATAACTGATAACAAATACGAAGCTCGAAATCTAGTTTAATATTATAATAAGGGAATGGTTCACATGCATGCAGGCGTTTCATCAAAATCGCTAACATTATATTTTATATGCATGTGCTTGCTTGTTGTTGAATATTTTATGCCCCCAGTTTTTCACAAAATACGCAAAAATATTGCCAGGCTAAACCGAAAAATAGGAAAGCTTCTCATTTCAGATTTATATAGAAAGAAGACACCAACATTTCAATATTCAACAGGATATAAGATTCATCGCGCTAACTTCTTTGCCTTAATTTACAATATAAGCGACGCAATATTAAATGTTCTCATTATTTTTCAAATTGACAATAAAATGCCGATAATTTTTAGATGATTTCTTTATTGAGTAAGAGAGATACAGTACTACATATTCTTTTCTTTTTAACCACAAATATTTAATCAAATTACCCTTGATATTATTTTCCTATGAATGTTCTACGAGTGTTCTACATGATATGCGTTATAGCTTCGTTTATTGATCACAAGTTGGACGGTGAGCGAATAGGTAAGGTGCTTTCTTGAATTCCTCGCAGTTGATTTGACCGTCACCATTTTTGTCAGCTTCGCGAAAAGCTTCCTCTGTTCCTTTTGCATGTTTTACCACGTTGATGGCCATCGCGAGTTCTTCCAATGTGATACCACCATTTTTGTCAAGATCATACTGACCGAATTTCTCAGGAAAAGGCATTCGCTTTGCATCATCATCGTCGTTACCCTCTGAAATACTTCGTTTTTTCCGGCTGCATTGAAGAGAACAACCATAGCTACAGCTCCAGCCCGAACAATGCCAACCACATGAGACCCGGCAGCCAGCACTGGCCGGTTTGAACAGCACAGCACACAAAACAAGAGCGAAAACAAGAGATAACTTCACGAGAGAAGACATCTAAAAGGAATGCATAAAATGCTTTCAGTACTCATATAACTATGATTGAATTTAGATGAAGATATAATAGAAATGCGCCCGCTGAATACTTACTCTGTACAAGTCAATTTTTTTTTGTAATTATAGGAACCAAAAGATTTACCCTCTTTCCAATTTCTTTCAACACACTGATAAGAGTGATTATTCTGATTGTGATTCCTACTTTTATGCACACGCATTTCTTATGCTAATTCCTTTTTTGTAGTTTCGTCATCCTGTTTATGGTTTAAGGAAGACGAATTAAACATCCGTTATAGGATTGGGATAACATGACTAGATTAAAAATAACAATACTATTAAAATATTGATATTAAATGACATTAGTTGTTTATTCTTGCTCTTAGTTAATTTTGACCTCTTGATTACGAATTATCATAACAATATTTTTTTCCGAGCTGTTTTGTTCTCGCGTTGTCTCATAGAGTATGTATTTTCAGCCGAAAAAGTATTTTTAGTCGAAGTACTTTCAGCGCTTTATATTTTCTGCCGATTTTCTTGATAACTTGATCCTTTAACGTCATGCAGGTGCATAGGAGATAAAACAACAAGTATAATCATTTTATAAGCGCATATCGCGATTTCGTATTTCTAATATATCTAATGAGGATTTCGGGCTTTTTGGTCACTTTAATGAAAAATAGTCACGATAACGATTTATACAAGTATTGCGTCAACAATTCAAGACGAACTAGACTTGAAGACAAGCAATAGCTGTGAGGTAAGCGATTCAGACGAGAGTCAACTTCCCGAACAGGAAGACGACGTGAGTTCGAGGCTGAAAATGATTGGGGTCTTGACAGTCTGAGTCGGCGTAAATGTGGGCACTGCAAGTTTAAAAAACAAGGCTATTAAATCGTTGCGTTACCAAGAAATAGGGAAAATAAGGCCGCATGGGTTATAACATGCTCACTAAATTATCTCCTTAAAGAACTTTGATTGAACGACTTACACCAAGTACTGCTCGTAAAATGCAAAGGCAATTTTAGTGTTCAAAGTTATAAAAAATTTAACTCCTACTTATTTACAAGGTATGTTTGTTCTGTTTGTTCCCAAACCCAGAACTGACTATCTTAAACGCTCCTTTAGTATCGTGGGAAAACATTGTGGAACAGTTTGCTCGAGTCTCTTGGATTATCTTCATCTCTTTCATCTGTAAACGTCCAATTCCTGTTTATTGGTCGTCTCGTCATCCTGTTTATAGTTTAACGAAAAAGAATTTAACATCCTTTAGCTTTAACATTTTATTTGCATGCATGTTTACATTTCAAATATATGAGTAACTAACATAATAGCAATAATAGTTACTATAAGCATTATAGTTTACTTAAAATTTTGATTTTAGAATTGAGTCGGAGGACTTCGTAACTAATTTTTTTACTGCAACTGTATTTGTAGCCCACGGTGACACCCAATACCGTTTTACGTTCCCAAAAAAATGCTACAAAAATGTACGACGGAAAATGTCGACAGTTTTACGTGCGGTAACTTAATATTGAAAGTTTCCCGAACAAATAAACGTCTGCACAAGTGAACGTTTAAAATAATCCATTCAAGCGATGAACACAAACAAACGCTTTGCTCACATTTTGTACTACCATATCCGTTCATATCTGGATGCATAATTAATGACTCGACCGCATTTTTAGTTCACAAGAATTTATAATACAAAAGAAAAAACATTAAACGGTTCTTAATGAGCAGACTGCCTTAATTGTATTTTTGTGATCTGAAACCACTTACAAAAGCAGCACTATATGCCTCCATTAATATAGTTAATATAATAGATAATAATTAATATGTTGGAATTGAGTATAATTTAGGGATACCTATTGGATTTTAACTCTAACATTTGCTTTGCTAACACCGTACCCTTAGTGGGGTTTACTGGGATCGCAAAAGGCAATACTCTATTCGATATCCATGCAGGAATGAACTCTTCTGTGCCGATAAACCTAATCAATGTTATTATGCTAAAAGAGTAGCCACATCATGATGGAAATTAGCCAGAGATATGATGATGAAAAATTTTCAAAAGCTGAAACGGATGATGAAATTTAAATAAATTTTACAGACAAATTATCTCTTGATTGCCGTTTTTAGATTGGTGATTGTTACGAAGATTAAATTGCCAAATGTTACGAAGAGCTGTTCACAACAACCAATAAGTTCATACAATTCTTTTGGTAGCGCATCAAAAATTGTGCGTTGTGTAAGTAGAGCCCCGTTTACACTACAGTCAATTTATTGGCACGCGTACCTAAAAATTGTGCGTAGGCTTTTGGACAGACTTTAAGTGCTTCGGAACATATTTGGTTCAATGATTGATTTTGCCAAGTGGCGGAAATTTTCACAAGGGGACGCCTACTAGGCGTTATATGATCGCGTCGTTCACAGCGGCGTAGCCAGCCCAGCTATGCAAATTTTGTGTCGTAAATGTTCTTAATAATAAAAATGAACAATATACCGAACTATAGTCGCATGTTGAAAGCAGGAGAAACACACAACAGCCCATTTCAAAACTGCTTGAAATCCTTTAGTGCAGGCTTACTCTGCTCGGCGTGTGCAGTTAGTTGTATGTGTAATGAGTGTAAAGATAAAGATAGCACTTGCTAGCATTTTGATCGCTTTATTGATTCTACTTTACTGCTTTGAAGGTGAAACGAAATATGCCCAAAGTGAATACAACACGTGATATAACTAGCAACGTAGCTGTGCGCAGGTTCCCGATTAGGGTGATATGGCCTGCAGCTAGCGACGCTGGGGGTCGACACGAGAGGAAAATAATAAAGAACAAGACGCCTACTAGGCGTTATATGATCGCGTCGTTCACAGCGGCGTAGCCAGCCCAGCTATGCAAATTTTGTGTCGTAAATGTTCTTAAATAATAAAAATGAACAATATACCGAACTATAGTCGCATGTTGAAAGCAAGAGAAACACACAACAGCCCATTTCGAAACTGCTTGAAATCCTTTAGTGCAGGCTTACTCTGCTCGGCGTGTGCAGTTAGTTGTATGTGTAATGAGTGTAAAGATAAAGATAGCACTTGCTAGCATTTTGATCGTTTTATTGATTCTACTTTACTGCTTCGAAGTTCGAAGGTGAAACGAAATATGCCCAAAGTGAATACAACACGTGATAGGCGTAGCCGGCCCAGCTATGCAAATTTTGTGTCGTAAATGTTCTTAATAATAAAAATGAACAATATACCGAACTATAGTCGCATGTTGAAAGCAGGAGAAACACACAACAGCCCATTTCGAAACTGCTTGAAATCCTTTAGTGCAGGCTTACTCTGCTCGGCGTGTGCAGTTACTTGTATGTGTAATGAGTGTAAAGATAAAGATAGCACTTGCTAGCATTTTGATCGCTTTATTGATTCTACTTTACTGCTTCGAAATTCGAAGGTGAAACGAAATATGCCCAAAGTGAATACAACACGTGATATAACTAGCAACTTACCTGTGCGCAGGTTCCCGATTAGGGTGATATGGCCCGCAGCTAGCGACGCTGGGGGTCGACCCGAGAGGAAAAAAATAATAAAAAAAAAAAACCAAGCCGAAACTATAGATCGCTGTCGCTACGCGACGCCGCGACGCGATCAAAAAACCAAGCCGAAACTACAGATCGCTGTCGCTACGCGATCAATGAGTACAGATACTAATTTGTACCGCACGCACTATAATCCGACGTATTGCTTTGGAAACCGAAATTTATATATCATTATAATTTTCTATACATTTTGGAAAAGACACACTTTAAGATGAAATTATTCCAGATGTATATTTTTGACCGCACATGCACTCTTTATTTGCTTTTCCCCAGGTTTCAGATCATGAAAATTTCAATTCAAATATTAATAAGAGTTGAGACTTTAAATTAACAAAGAAATTTGACTAGGTTGCATGGTTATTGTAAAGAGATATCCCTCGAACTTTCTCGTTTCGCATAAAACAATGATTCGAAAATAACACGCAGGTTTGCTTAACTTCAAAATGCAGGTTTGCTTATGCTTTTGGTACATAGCTGCATGCATGTATTGAATATATTAATATTGACATGGTTGAAACATGCTTAGATAACAACATGTACAACGTGCACGTTTACAGGCTTTTATTAACTTGCAAATTGATAAAACTTGACATTTCACAGATACTCAAGTTGTGAATAGGTTTCATATTTCCATTGCCATTGGCAATGTCACTGTTAGGAAATGAACTGAGAGTAAGTCTTCCCTAACAGCATGCGGTAAGTGCGATTGTTATCATTTTTATAAGAAATCGTCGATCCACAGCATGCTTTCGAAATAACTCTTTAAAAACAAATAGAATAAATTAACGAGATCTGGCAAGGCTGAAAAGGATGTCGAAACTTATTAAATTGTAAACAGGATGACAATTGATCATCGTTTTCACTTATGGATACGAAATACATCATGGTATATTATATTAAGGTCTTTGGGGGCAGAAATTGTCATTTATGTCGTATGAACGAAACATTTTTAAAAAACACACTTTTTCTTTAAAACGTAATTCTGCGGTCTGCAGTCTTCTAGTACTCTCACTAAAAACCCATCAACTTCAACCTAATCCAACCCAAAAACAATAATCCCACGCATTCTCAAGGTACAGCACTGTCCAGAAATAACCTAACAAAAACCGCGGTTAACCGAAGTCTAACCGCGATGAGACCGAGACTGACAGACATTTCTTAAGATGTTTTCGATTTCATTATTGGGCTGTCGTTCTCAGCTGTTCATAACATTGCGTACTATAATAAACATGCTTGTAGGGAGGTGAGTCCGTGATTTACGCACCGAGGGAGGTATAGTCTCCCGAGGTGGCTAAATCCCGGACTTTTTATCTCATGCTATGAGGAAAAAGTGTTTGAAAAGTCCACAAACGGTGGAGGGATGAAGTCTGTGCACTTCAGGCAATGCGGGACGCGTTATCCATCCCAATTGGAAAGAGAATGGCCATAAGACAACGTGACCATACCTCTGCTTGGTAATTTGCTCGCTTGATGCGATAACTTTTAACAAAGCTATCCCATGTTTGGAGGTAGTTTGGAGGACAGCCTTGGATGACGCGTGCGCAGCGCCAGATTATTTGCTACAATGCATCGCAAAT